TAGGCACAAAGATAGTACAGAAACATCGGAGGAACACTGAGGGAAGAACTATATCGATGCCAATGTATATATATATATTTTTTCCAACATAGAGAAAAAAAGTGGCATAGAATAACCTTTTATTTTGTATCTGATCTGATTAGTGCATTTTTCCACTAATACACACACACACATACACACACGCACACACACACACGCACGCACGTAGTTACACACTCGGTTACACACTCTTCCACCCGCACGAAAAAGTAGAAAACATTCAGAGGACGATGATAGGAACAATGTGACTGAACAGGTCTTGCATTCTGGTGGTTCAGACTGAGCCGTGACTGGGTATATTATAGTGGGTGGATATTATACGAGGGTGAAAAAGCCCCCTCAGCTCACAGTGTTTGAGAATAAAATGGCAAGACACCAACGGGACATGCCATCCCTTCTTCTTCTTTTTTTTTTTTTTTTTTCAAGTACAAAAACAAAACAACAAAAAAAAAAAATATATATATATGTTGACAGTCAAGTTTGATTGAAAAATTGTGAATGACAAGTACTAATTGGTCGGTTTGGCAGCGCCCCCCCCCCTGCCGTCCCGTATTTTATCATCTTTTCTTTTCTTTTTTTTTGTGTGTTTTTTGTTGTGTTTGTTATTTTTTTTTTTTGTAGTTGTGTTTTTTTTTTTTTTGTTTGTTTTTGTTTTAAACTTTGTCACATACACACACGCTCGTAAAATTTGTGGCAGATAGATTTAGTCCTTCACCTACAATGCAATTTGACATCCAGAAAGCAACACTTATTATTACAATATGTTCACACACGGTTTTTTTTGTCCAACAATATCAAAGAGGAGCAAGGCAAAAATGATTCACACCCAGAGAGAGAGAGAGAAAGAAAAACAGGTAAAAAAAAAAAGAAAGAAAAAAAAAAAGAAATACAAATATTTGTGCCCTGCTGTAACCCTCCACAAATGGAAAAAGGACTGACACTGAATACAAAAATATCACAATTTTTATATATCAAATTGCCTCTGTTGGCTCTTGTTCAGGAATACACTCATTTCTCACGAGAGCTCGTCGGCCGAGAGAATCTCTGTTCTGAACTTTCTCTGGTTTTTCCTTTTTCTTTTTTTTTTCTTTTTTTTTTTTTAAATTCTGATTTTACCACTTGCAGTTCCAAATTGTCCAACGCACTCTGCATCACTGCAAACATGACCTGTGTCCTGGGCGGTTCAGCGCTTTTGTTTTTGTTTTTGTTTTAGTTTTTTTTTTTTTTAATTTTTTGATGAACCTTCTTCTGTTTTTTTTTTTTTCTGTTTTTTTTTTCACATTACAAAACTACAATTCTATTCACATATTTTCAAGTTTAAATTCTCGTTTTTAAACCGTCATAAAAAGCAATAGTACTTCCTCTTCTCTGCTGCGTCCCTCTTTGCTCATCACTTAAGGCTTCATAATTGCTTTTTTTTTTTTTTCTTTTTTTTTGTCTCTGCTCTTCTGTGGTCGGAGGTGCAGGGGGAGACTATAAGAGAAGAATAAACATCCATTTGAAGGACTTTTCTTATCCTATCAACCTCTACTTTTTGTTATTTCTTACCCTTTTATATACATTTTGCTTAAAAACAGACAATCATAAATCAACTTTTGAAAAAAAAAAAAAAAAAAAGCATGAGATGAAGTAGCAATGATGAAATAATGCAAAACACAAACACAAAAATTGTGCTTTTGCCAAAAAAAAAAAAACAACAAAAAAAAAACAAACAAACAAACAAACAAAAAAACGAAACAACTTAGAGGTAGCTTTTATAACAAATGACCAAACCTTCCGACTCTTTAACAAGCGGGGTTAATAATACCAAGTTTGGTAACAACTAATGCACAAAAAAAAAAAAGAAATACACAACATTAGAAAAACAAGCAAATCTCTTCACCGTGGCACTTAATTTTTCTGCGTCTGCATTGCTTCATCATGTTGTGCAATGCATCTTTCTGACAAACACTCATGAACAACAACAACAACAACAACAACAAAAAAAAAGTGTACAAATGAAAAACAAAAGGGAAAATTAAAATACACAAGCAACATGAGGTCACAAAAACGAGGTAATTCAAGTACGATGTGTTGAGATCAAACTCAAGGTCAATAATAACAACAACAACAACAACAACAACAACAACAATAGCAGGAGACGAGAGAGACAAAGCGCATGGGACAAAACCACAGAGAAAGAGTTGATTTATTCTGTCGTCTTACTGGTTGCCCCCTTAGCTGCTGGGCCACGTCTCGTCCAATCAGTGATTTCCCCCCTTTTTTTTTTTTCTTCTTCTTCTTCTTCTTCTTCTTTTTTTTTCTCCCACCGGCCTTTTGGATATGTGTCCACCCCGGTAACGCTGTGACACGCTGTGACACGCTGTGACACGCAGTGACGTTCACTGAAGCCCCTCGGTTCAACCTTAACACACGTGGCTGCTGTGCATCCCCCTTTTGCAGGTCTAATGCTGCGTTTCAGAGACGTCAGAAAGTGGGAAATTCCAACCTCCCGCCCGACAACAAAACGAGCCTTTCAGTCTGAGCCGAACACAGGATTTTTTTTTTTTTTCCCAGGGTGAGGAAGCAGTTTGTGTTAACACTGTAAATGTGACAGACTTCTAACACTCGGCCTCACTGTGCAGTGACAGTAGAGTACGCAGCGTCGTTATTACGTTTTGCTCAAAGCCCTGTGCTGGTAGTTTAATTCAGTGCAAATAGATTTCCGAACCACTTCAACACAATATCTGTAATGTCACTACGAGATAACGCAGGGCCTCAAGCTGATATTCTTCTTCACTGGCTGTTTATTCCCCAGACGAAGAGTTTGGGTTCCCCGGGGCCCTGTGGCACTCCCCTGCTCTCGCCTCGGTTTGAATTTGAAGACTTCACGGCTTCACGTGTGATCAGTTTCAGTCACATCCTTCCAGTCTATATAAGTGTACACGTGTAAATGAACATTTACAGCTGCTAGCTTGCTAGCTAACGTATGAGCTGCTGCGCCGGGAGGGGCGGAGGGCGGGGGAAGCATCCGATGGTGGATGGAGAAAATCTTCCCGAGAGTAAATCACAGCCTCCGAGGTCGGCGTTATCGCTTTCTGACTTTGAATGAAAGGCAGCATTAACCTGCTTCTCTATTTTGTATTTTTGACACACACAGCACCACCGCGTGAACCCGGCTCCCACTCGTTCACATTCATGTTTTTTTTTTGCAGCCGTATAACAGTCTTCAACCTGCCACGCCACCTTTCTGACAGAGATGTTTCAGGTGTGCAGCTAAGGCATTCCCAGCACTTCTTCAACATTCACTAGTAGCAGTCAAAGTCACAGGACTCCCACGGAAAGCAGCCTTTTCCCATTTTGTTTTTTATGTTTTTTTCCATCCCTGTGGTGAATGGACAGATCTGCTGTGGTCAAAGTGTTACTGTTTACGTGTCAGTTTGTGTAGTTCATCATTAGTGTGAGATAATGATAGTAATCTGGTTAAATGTACATGGATAAAAGCAGTCCAGGTGTCTATTGCTAAGTATGCAGATAGGTTGGGTTTATTGTGGCGTGCTGTTGTAGCGAGTTATGATTTAATGAGGAAATATATACCTTGCAGACATCAAACAGAAACTGTTGTCGTAATTTGTTTTACCTGTGCAATCAAGCCGTGGATAAACTATGATGCAGAGCTAAAAAAAATATATATATAAGATGAAAAAGTGACAGAAGTTAGCCTTTGGCTCTCTGGGGAGAACCACGGGGGGAGGGGGAGGAGGAGGAGGAGGAGGGGCGGGGCCAGCGGTGACTCGGCCTTCTCCAGCCCTCATGTGACGCAGAGTCAGAACCAGGAAGACTACTGAGAAAACCGGAGAGGGGGGGGGGGAGACATCCGACTAAAAGCAGCACTAGCATCTTCCCCCGCCTTACAACCAAATGGATGCTTGGTTTGCAGTATTTTTAAAACGCTCCCATCCGTCCAGTTCAGCTGTTTCATCTACTGCATAAGCCGACTGGCTCTGCTGCTGATTCTCAGGGGCTATCTTCGCTGCCGCCGCCGGGATCTGAAGGATTGAATGTGCGGACAGGTCGGGCGTTAAGTGACAGAACGGACACATTTCCCGTTTCGGGGGGGGGGGGTTGGGGGGGATTAGGGGCCACGGTCACCCAAAGCAGTTCATTCAAACTCCGGAGTGTTCGTTTCTGAGATTCACATGATGTGGTGAAAACTCTTGGAAAATACTGTACGTCTCAGTCCTCCCTCCAAGATAAATTCGCTGTGGTTCGTAACAACGGGAAAACGTGTGGCGTTGGTCCTTAACACTTTGGGAATCAGACCGATGACCGTGATGAACCGGGGCCGAAACTCATATGCTCATATTCACATATTCTCTCATGTGATTCACGACTGAGCAGGGTGAGTGTAAACAAACCAAATAACCAAAGCACAACAACCTGTTTTTGAAAGACAATGAAAAAAAAAAAAAAAAAAAGGAAAAGAAAATGGAGTGAGAGATTGGGTTCCTGATGGCGGAGATGTGCAGGTTCAGATAGCCCTTGAGAATCTGCTTTCTCACCACTGTGGCAGCAGCATCGGAAAACAAAAAAAAAAAAAAAAAAGTCGTTTCCTTGCAGCTCGCTCGCTTTGTGGCGCTGCATGAAATGACCTGAAACAATAACACAGTTGCAGATGTAGTGAATGACCCGGTGAATCCGAACAATGGTGGAGAATCTCTCTCTCCGTGTCCACGTCTTCCTCGTCTTAGCACTTTTGTCCCACCATCACCACCCTCTATCCCCGTCGGTTGTCGCCGCCTTTGCATGAAAAAAGAAAAAAGAGAAAACAAACCCTCTTTGCTCTCGAGTCTCTCGCCGTCGACGTTCCTCAGCCGTCGACGCTCCACCCACAGCTTCATGCCTCCTAACCGCTCACTTACATTCCCCTTACCTCTCAACTCCCCGTCCCCACCCTCTCGCGTACCCTCCCCTCTCTTCACTCTCCCGGTCTCAGACGTAGCAGAGGTATAGGTAGGTCTTCTCTATGCGCCAGTCTGGGGGGATGTCTTCAGGCTTGTGGCCTTTCATGTGCTTCTGCATGGCTGACAGGCTGGGGCAGTACTCCAGGCAGATGGTGCATTGGTAGGGCGAGGCGCCATTGTGGGTGCGCAGGTGCTTGATCATGGCCGAGTAGTCCCTGGATCGCTGGTGGCACAGCTTGCACTCGAATGGCTTCTCACCTAAGGATGGTGGGGTGGGGTGGGGTTGAAGACAACAACTGTGTGAACCATAGAGCCAATAACAGCGTCTGTTAATCGGGGGAATAAATGCACTGAATACAGAAATCAATCAAAAGAGGTTTTTCTGCAGCTGCTTCTGTCATTCACACTCACAACACCGCAACATTATCGGAACGACAATATGACAATTCACTTTTCTGCAACAAGCACAATAAACGACTTCTTGTTGCAATGGGGGAATGTGTGGTAAAGCTTATATACACATACAGGAAATCTGTTGTTTGTGTGTGCACCGTATGGATAAACTGCTACGACACTGCAGTATTAACTACAGTCTGTGTCCGATTGTTGTCGTCACTACTTTCGGTTGTGGTAAGGTGCGTGGCGAGGTAACCGCAGAGATCCGGGGAACACGGGGACGCGGCGGGAACGTCGAGGAAACCAGAGTCCGGACTCCCATATCATTTAGGGTTAAAACTGCACGTGAACACGCCTCCGAAAACTTTGGTAATAAGGTTCCTGCTGCACAGGAAACCTGCGTGCACAGTTACAGTAAGTAGCAGGGAACATGAAATGCATTTATCTTGTGGGTTTGTTCTTTTATTTTTTTTTTACCAATTAACTCAGTGACACAGGTCATTATTACTGACAGGGATGTCGGCCAAAACTATAACAAAACCCACATAATTGAACCAAATTATCCTTTAATGGCAAAATATTGTGTCTTGGCAGCTGGGACTGCAGCATATGAAACCTGATGAAAACACGGAGTGTGTGTCAGAGAGAGACGAATAACCCATCACCACTAATTTAGAAACCACAGATTTCACCCTGTTGGCCCAAAAGAAACTCTGCTGTTGTTATGATAATTGGACCGAGCGCACAGTAAGTGACAAGTCAAAACCCAGGAGTGAAATCCCGACTGTCTCCTGAACAGCAGCGTGCAGCCGTTAAAAAAAAATAAATAAATAAAAAAGGGCTGCACTAACTCTTTAAAGTCATTCAAACTGCCTCTGGGTAATTGGTGCAAGTCTAAGAGAAAGAAGAAGAAAAAGCAAAAAAATAAACTCTCCTGTAGTGACGTTTGTTCACCTCCGGTAGTGTCAACACAGCGCCGCTCGGGTCCGTCAAAACATCCCTCCAGAAGATCACAGAGTCATCTTCTAATTATTCTTATGGTTGAGGGGATAGAAAATCTTTTGTGTTCACTTCTTATCAATTCTAATCACAGTCTTTATTTAAAAAAAAAAAAAAAACCCCCACTGAATTTCAGAACCATGAGAGCCGCTTTTTTGATTTTTTTTTATTTCTCTCATAACATGCAGTGCAACAGAAGAAAATGAAAAGGAGATGTCCTGCTATTTAATCAAATGTACGACCAAGTGAATGTGGAAGCTGAGACTGTGCAGAGGAAAGACTTTAGAACTTTATCAATGTTCAACTGTCCTTAAGAAAACAGTCATTTACGAACTCTTTGACATCCGATCGCCCGAAGACACCTGCGCAAAGTTCACTCTGCAGAAAAGAAAACGAGTCGGACTCGGACTGAAGCCGCCGTGTTCCCAGATCTCAGCAATCACTTTGCAGAACCGTGTTGTACATAAACCACATCTATTCTTGAGAACATGATGAGAACATCCTAATATTCAGATTAAGATCTACAGCCAGAATATGTGATGTTTAAATACCTGGTATTTCTAATATATACATGTATGTATATATACAGCACGTCTAATCAACTAATCTCTGGTACATTACACATGACGCAGCTCCTGAAGGTGTCATAAATCAAAGTGCAACGCTGCTTTCTTGCTGTGGGGGCTGCTATATTCAAGAGGCACATTTCAAATTCAGCAACGGCGGCCAACCTAAATGTGCTAATGATTTGAGTGATGGCAGGGAATAATCCACCAGCGCTCAAGCCGGCAGACGCAAATTAGACATGTAAATGCTGACCTTTACCAATGGCATTTGAAATGAGCTGTCGGAAGTGATCTGGCCCGCCGCTCGCTGTCACCTTTCAGCTGGAGCTTCACACACACACACACGCACGCACGCACACACACACACACACACACGTGCGCTTGGCAAAACGAGCGAGTGCCTCTGCCGCTTGGTCTGTCTGTTGTTTTTTTTTTTTTTTTGGGGGGGGGGGGGGGGTGGCCCTGGTTAACCTTGACCTCCGCTGGTGGGCGGGCCAGGCGCCATTTAGCCAATAAGCATAAATACAGTGTCGTGGCGTGCTGCAGCGTTGTGGACACCTGCGCGACCGCTTGATGATGTTGATAACCAGACTGTAAACTGGGTCGCCTCAAATAAGCAGCTAATAATGAATTGCGAATGGGCCCCAGGTATTGATCCGCCATTGGCATTTAGGATGTGTGGAGAGAAGGGGGCGGGGAGGTTAGGCTGCCAATGTCGATGATTCATCAAGCAGCTGCCTTTTGTGTGAGGTGGCCTTTGACTGTGAGCTTGTCACTTGCTCTTGTTATCTGCTGTTGCTCTCCGGCTTAGCGCAAAGCCCCCCTCCCCCACATTAAAGGTGAAAGGGTGGACGGGGGGGGGAGCCAATTATTGGACAGGCTGCCTTGATAGTGTGGCTTAACAGCTGGCTTATTGAATGGGAGATGGGAGGGTGCTGCTATGTGTGTGTGTGTGTGTGTGTGTTAGAGAAAAAGAGATGGTGAGGAAGCACAAAGCCTTGGCCGCGTGCCATCCTGGTGAGTCGTGGTATCCTCTCGGTCTGGTACGTCGCATGCACTCGTTCTCCAGGGCGCCCAGCTTATCACTGTGTCAACATCTTTATGGGGCTCTAAATATACTGGGATCAATACGAAGTCTTCTGAGACGTTCATCTACTGTATCACAGCAACAGAGATATTCATCTGGTCTGCGCCTTGCAACTTGGATTTCCTTTAACAAGCTCCATATGCTGCATCAATATGTTTCAACACTGCCTTGATATGAGGGGCAACGAGGTATAATGTTGCACTCATATCAAATTATGAGATGTAGAAGAATGGGATGAAATCTCGCCGCTGTTGCTGTAGTTTAGGAACCGATATTAGCGTCTGTTTAAACCGTATAATAATATGAACCGGCTTCGTCGCAGTAGCGCCGAAATGGCGCCGAACAAGGAGTCACCCGGCGATCACAGTACCTGTGTGCACACGGTAGTGGGTTTCCAGCTGGTGCTTGAGGCTGAACTTCTTCCCACAGCCGTTACATTCATAGGGCTTCTCCCCGGTGTGGATGCGCTTGTGGCCCTTCAGCGTGCTCTCGTCTCGGAAGCAGCTCCCGCAGAACTCGCATTCAAATGGATGGTCCCCCGCTGCAGAGTGGGGAAAGAAAAGGCAGAGTTTACTTCATCTGAATACTGTTACATCTTTCAAATCGTCTGTGCCCAAAAGCTACAGTTGAATGTCTCTACAACAACATACAGCGACACGACGACGAGCCACATCACCGAATGTGTCGTCTTGTTATTTTTGGCGAGTTTATGCACAACACCGGCGCGGCAGACACGCTACGTTTTAATGGACACCCACTTAAAGGCTTTAAAACACGAGCAGACAAACCGTGAGCCCTCTTTTGTCTTTCTCTACAAATCACCTGCACTGTTGTTTTGCTTTGTGTAAAGCCTTAAATAATTGTAGCCTGTCATGGCTGCTCACTGGCCATGAGATGTATTATTGACCACGAAGTCCCAGCCTCACAACGCACTAATGGATAACCTGACTGATGTGGCCAACCTGCAATAATGAGCCAAGTTTGTCATCACGGAATTTATTATCCTTTAATATGTATATATATATATATATATTCTTTCTTTTTGAATGACCAACTGTCAGAAACAAACTAGTAAACACTGCAGACTTCAGATGAAGCTAAAACATCTTCAATGAGTCTCTCGTTTTAAACCCTTAAAACACTCCAGGTTAAAGGTTTTCATGGTCGGACTTTTTAATGAACCGTGTCTGCCATCTTTGTTTCTCTAGTTCGAGCTGCTTAAAGTTAATCCAGCCTCCACAACAGAGGCTGCTGTTACTTCTTGTTATGCTAGTCTTTCAGTTTTGCGAGAACACGGCATCCGACAGACGCGGAGTAAACACGTGGTTTTGCCGGCAGCGCTCCGTTTGACGCGTCCTAAAGTAACCTTCAGGCCTAAAAGTCTTATAAGAGGACTGAGTGTCAACTGCTACGTCTTCAGTACTTTGAAGATTTGGTTAAGATGGAATAATCGTCAACATGAGAATAAGAGAAATTACCCTGTTTGCTTTTTCATACTTTCACTTTAACAGCATCTTTTTACTGTCACCACGCTGTCCCCCGTCTCATCCTTTCACGCTGGGTAAACGTATTCACACTTTTAATTCACAGAGAACCATATGTCCAATGTGAGACGTTAAGACTTATTTCAGACGTGGCCGCGTGCGCCGCACAGTACATGTGTGCCTTGGAAAATGAAAATGACAACAGGCATCACACTCTGCTCCTCAGGCTGCCAGAGCAGGTCCCCACGGGGCAGCTGTAATGGATATTCAGATGTCAATGATCAGGGATATTATGATTTGCAAGAGGCTCTCACTAGCAGTCCCAAGACTAATTGTATTCCCATGTTTGATGAGGAGCTCCTCTTTGCATCATTTGCCCACCAACCCCCCCCCCTCCCCTCCCCTCCACCCTTGTGTTACACTCTCCATCCAAGTAATGCTGTGGATATTTATTAATGTATTTCACTCCGCTGCTGCAGGTTTAAGTCACCATCAATGACCTATGCCTTTCATTATCTGCCTGTCCGAGCAGCAGCGTGCCAGGGAATAAATTGCATTTCTCGTTATGTGCTTCTGCCGCTGCCCCGCTGTTAAGAGACAATTTCACTTCCATCCTGCATATTTTATTTAACATTTTTCTGCCTGTACATACAGTATGCATGCATTTATTCAATTTTATTTAGGAGACACGGGAAAGAGGGATGAAAGAGGAACAAGAGACGGATACCCTTTAAATGCTGATCGCATTTTGGGTGTGCTACACTTTCATGGAAGAAAACGTTTTCGATGCCTTGTGATGTTGGACGCCTTCCCATTAAAGAGAAGCTTTGATGGGGAAGGAGGGGTGTGTGTGTGTGTGTGGGGGGGTGGTGGTGGTGGTGTGGAGGGATAAAACAGAGACAGGGATGGAGCAGGAGATGTGGGTGTATATGGCGGCGGCGGTGGGGGCTGGGTAAAAATCAATAAAAGTGACAGTCTTTATTTGTCTGCATGAAGTTATCAGTGGCTCCCGCTGTAAGACATTGTGCTCTTTCTAGCGTTTCAACCACAGCAGAGATCACAATCCATCACGGAGCGCGGTGGGCTCGCGCGACGCCGCAAGAATAATAATTGAGCTCAGATTCACCTGTCTTTAATTAGGGCCTCCGATCAGACCAGCGAGTGGGATGCTAATACACAGCGGAGGCCTGTGGAGGGTTATTTATGCTTAATGTCCTGTTGCAGCGCTTAACGTCTGCTCTTGGAAAACATCATCAAAAATCTCAAATTAGCGGGAAGCGGCTCGCTGTCTTCCTCACACATGCAACACAAGGTTTTTCACTTTAAAGAATGCACCAGGGTTTCTGCTCTGCATTACAATTACTGTAAAATACGTACACTTCACATTAGCGGTGGCCATTTTTCTTTGGTTTCAGAATGCTGTGGAAATCTCCCGCACAACCGTGACATGGATATGGATATGGTGTCTCTTTGCAGATGATCCGCAGCCTCGATTTAGATTAGACTTTCTGTGATAACATCTATCCATCTATCTATCTGTAAATAAACAGGTAATATGCCCCTTTTTCTATCTCATCCACACAGTAAAAACAGAGTGTAAATATAATCTGATGTCCAGTATCAGGCGGAAAAACAACAGACTGGTCTAAAATGCCAAGTGGCTGCCGTCCAGCTCCAGCAGCCTGTATGTGCCTGGGATGCATATCGTGCATGTTTATGTGCTGCAGCCACTCGGGGACGCCAAAGTGCAAAGTTGCACCGCAGAGCTTTAAATAAATCAGACACGATGCTATAATCACAACGTGAGGATGTGAAGGGCCCGACAGGACTTTGTCGTTTTTGTCAAGAAATTCTCACGGGAGGGGTGGGGGTGGTGGGGGTGGGTGGTGGGTGGGGTGGGGGGGGCGAAAGTAAGTTGTGACGTGTCCTTTTTGTCCATCCCAAATCGTTCTCCCTCCCTCCCTCCCTCCCTCCCTCCGTTTCCTTCCCTCCTTCCTCCCTCTTCTTCTTCCCCTCTTCCCTTTCTGTTTCTCCGGTGTGACCACATGGCGGGGAGGCCGCAGATGAGGACCCAGCACAGTGAGGTGGAACCACAGCATGTTTGGTGAGTGGACCCATGGGTGCCCCCGAGCATCACCACCTGCGTCTCCTGACCCCCCTCCCTCCTCCCCTCCCCCCCTCCCCACACACACACACACACACACACACCTCACATCCCAGACCATCTCTACATTACATTACCACCCCCCACCCCCCCTCCACCCCCCCCTCTCCTTATCACCTCCTTTGACACCCCAAAGGCCCTGCTGAGGGCGCCTGTGCCCGTGGGCACCTGGGGCGTGTTCATTATATACGGTAAGAGGCTGTAAATCACCGAGCTCCATCACTGCCAGGACCAGAACTGGCTCATTCCCTCTCTCTCTCCCTCTCTCTCTCCCTCTCTCTCTCCCTCTCTCTCTCTCTCTCTCTCTGGCTGTAGCACTATCAAATACAGCTGCGAACACAAAACACCCCGCCACAGCAGACAGCAAATTGGCTCCGAGTTAAAAAAAAAAAACAAAAAAAAAAAAAAAACACACACAGACACTTACACACAGACAGTGCACAACAACGGAATATTAATGAAGGCCTGGTCTGTAAAGATGGAGTGTGTGTGTCTGAGTGTGTGGCGTTAGGGAAGGGGGGGGGGGGAGATAGCACAGCTGCCATGACTGCCACTGTGTTATAAGCCGTCGTTGTGTATGTGTACGTGTACGTGTACGTGCGCTCGAGGCTCTGCCGTACTGTACATGCGTGCAGTAAAGATACAGAAAAATAAAGAGGCAACATGGAGGTAAGTATGTGTAATATCCTGGCATGTTAAGAGAAGCTGATGAAACTGCAGGTGGATGGGGGGAAATAAGAGGAGAGACTCGGTGAGGGAGAGATGGCAAGATTAAGATGCTGAAATAAACACCATTAAATCCACCCCCCCCCCTCCACCCACCCCCACCCCACCCCCGTCCTAAATGGTGATCCAGTGTCAGAGCTCCCTTAGCAAGGCTGCTTTCAAAAGATAAGCCAGCCGACAGGTAAAATGAAGCACACATAATGAATGTCCATAAAAGTGCTTTTTGCTGCTCTCTTGTTGTCAGTCGATACAAAAGAATGGTGATTCAACCAATAACCAGGCTACGTGTTGAAAGCTTTCTGTGGCAGATGAGATGCCACACTATGTCCATTAAAATTAGGGAATTGAGATCTTGGTATTCTCAGCCAAAATTGACTCCTGTTTCCCGGGAAAAACACCTGTGGGAACCTTTTTTTTGTGTGCATGTATTTGTATGCTGAAGAGGACTGTATGCACCGCACCTTATTCATTAAACCTCAATGATAAAACACAACTTCACTAAAGTCCGACCTTGAGAGGCCGTTGTTATCAGTAATAGAACTGAAACAACCGTGTGGTTTTTTTTCTTCCATTTACTTTTCATGCTACATTGGCTTCCTGGAGTCCAGCTGAGTGTCAAGTGGTTTTTATTTTTTATGTTTTATGTTTTTTAACAGGTGTGAATGAAGTGCAGTGCGAAAATCTGTCAACAAATAACCTGACAAATGGCTCAACAGGTGGCTGAACGGGACGCGCAAGCGCCTCCATCAGGTGGAGCATCGGACGCATTAAACACAACATTAACGTTTCGACCAAACATCCAGGAATAATACCGCCATGCCCCAAACCACCAAACCACACGACATGACAAAATGGCGGCATGTGAAGGATTTCTTTCTTCTCTTGTCACTGCACACGTAAATACCCTCAGGTCACTCCCATAAAACCACTCAGACATACTCTGTTAAAACTAGTGAGGAGGAGAATTTCTTCTGTTGTTGTTGTTGTTGTTGTTTTTACCTCAAAGAGATTGCACCTTTAAGGCTGCTAATATATGAATATATTATATACAAGACATAAAACGCTTATATCATGTCAGTATCATGATAAGTACGATGTATGTTCTTTATTTAATGTAGTTTGATCTTGTGAGTAAAATGAGTGAAACTATCTTCGGTCAGTTCTTTGTCTTGGCCTCTGATATAGAAACGTCCAGTCGTTACAGCTGTTCAAAGACTCATTTTGTTTACTCACTGAAATCTCCTCTTACTGTCCAGCCGTCATTCATAATCTAGATGAGAGAAGCTCTTTAATTGATGAAAATGTCGATAGGCTCATCAGAGTCCTCTTTAATCATCACAGTTCACAGTAAACCGTCTGAGCGGCAGCCGGCGTGCGCTTCACATCTCAGACGACATTCAAGCGGCGCTCACCTCTCGAGTGGTGGAGCTCGTTGGTGCCACATGCAGGTTAAAGGGAAGATCGGACTCTGTTCAGGACTGAGAAAGGTACCGCCACCTCCTCTGTGTGTTTATTTCATCAGTATAAAAACACACTGAACTGAACTGAACTATTTCTTTTTTAGTAAAGATGCAAATACTAAAATTTTAACCTTACACAGAATCATCTGGGGAAAAAAAGGGCAGGCACTTTCAAAAACAAAAAATGCTCGGCAGGTGATTGGAGGAAGCATCTATCACAGGCTAACGTCAACCAATCAGATGCTGCAGATTCTGGTGAATCGAACTCTTGCCGAACTCAGTCGGGAGAAGAGTGGAAAAACCTTCCCCTTCTCTCAAAGAGGAAATTCTCTCCGGTCCCGATATAACTGATGCTGCTGCAGCATCTCTACGCTAACCTCTCTGAGAGCCGCCATTGTTGTTAACGAACGGTCTACTTCCTCCCTCAAAGGACGCCATTTGGCGCGAACCGCTGAGGTTTGAACAACTCGGACAAGATGGATTCTCCCTTGCACGAAATCCAGCTGCCTCGCAAAGGTTAAAATTTGACACCAATGAAAACAAGCGAAGCTAAGTTAGTGTATTGTTAATATATCTATTTGAGTATATTATAGTGTTATTATGGTTGAAGAATCTCTGTCCTGGACTATATTTTCATTTTTAATTCATATTGTAATTCATATGCAACATGTAACAAATGTGTAGGTTGGAGACGGACTTTGCTAGATGACGTCTGAATCAACAGACAGGGCGAACATATAGCTAGGCTGGCAAGGCTGATTCTCTAAGGTGGATATGCTGTCTAGCTCTGTCTGTTTTCATACACTATTTTTGCCTTGTTACCCAACAAAGTGTGAATGAGATTATTAACATCAAAGTGTAAATGCAGAGGAACGCCATGCCTCTACGTCTTTTTTCTCTTTTTTTTTTGGAGGGTAAATTAGGACCTATTTCTGGTGCAGATGATGGCTGCGTGAGTTGCTGACTTTATAATCCCCTGACAAAAGGCTCCACATCATATTTAAACGATTGCTTTCACGGCTGGCTCATTGTGGTTTAACACACGCCCACAGCGGGATGAGGTTCAAAGTGGCACGAGGCTGCAAAGTCTCATCTGCAGCTCTGGAGACGGGCTGAGGTGACATTTGCGTCGCCCGGGTGGGCAGGTGGATCAGAGACGCTGCCTGTGTCCCCTCCAATGTCTGCTAGACGGAGCAGATGTGTGCATCGCTACTGTAACGGCGGCTCGAGCAAGCTCTGTTCACCACCCCCTGCCCCCTACCCACCCCAAACCCCAGCCCGTAGCACCACCATCACACACTAATGGTGTATTCGCCTGACTTGTAAATAGGGCCGACTGCTCTCATCTCACTGCCTTTCGTTTCAAATATTTATCCGTGAGCCGGTGAGCTAAATCGGCTCTGACAGTGAGACTGTTATTTAAGGTCGCAGACAGGCAGCTGGGAGAGAGAGAGAGAGAGAGAGAGAGAGGTGGAGGGGGAGGGAAGAAAAAGAAAAAAGCCTCCATCCCTCGCCAGCGAAATGGGATTCATTTCCATGTGTTCATATTCTGTCATGGTAGCGTTTTTTCTTTTTCTTTTTTTCCCCCCACTCTGAAAAACCGCATCCGTCAGGCTACCTCTGCTCCCCTGCAACAATGTATTAGTATCCTGGCCTCGGCTCAGTGGAGAGCCGGCACCGAGAGAATTACTAGTGGATGGAGGGAAAGGGGAGAGAAAAACAACAACAACAACAACAACAACAAAATAGTCACTGTAAATAAGCTTCATGTGGCTGCGGCAGAATTCATTCGTTTCGTTGACCTGAATTAACGCTGTTTCTTCAGCCGAGCTAACGCCGCGGCGTATAACCGGGTAGAGATAACGTAGTAATTCACTCCCCGCTTCCTAAAAATAAAACCTCATTTTCTACTCTCTGTTTTACTGTAAGCTATATCTGACCACCACAGGTCCTTGTCATGAGTGTCAAGTTTGTTTGCTACTATGGCTCACTTTTTTTTTTTTTTTTCTTCCGTGGTCAGCTATTGTGTTATCCTCGCAGAATACTGTCAGGTACGACTATTTCTATGTGAAAGCACAAAGACGTTTATAAGAGAAAAACTTTCAGGATGCACGTTTGTGGGAAAAAACATGACAGTGTGTTTAGATATCTACATGGGAAAATCAGAAGGGGTTTCAGAAGATTAGAAGTTTCTCATCACTTCCACGTGTGAAATGTCACATGAAAATCACATGTCCTTGTAATCTATTCACATGTGAAATGACCCCCCCCCCCCCAAAAAAAAGGGCCCTGTATATGTGCAGTGATGCTCCATGATTGATTAACGTGTGTTTTACATGAGATTTATATTTATGGGGTTTATACAGCTACCTGAATAAAGCTGAAATGAATCATTTTAGCTTTAAGTCATGTTGCTGCACAGTAAACATGAGGCTTTGCTTTGTGAGACAGATGCTAATGTAGTCTGGTTATTAGGAAACATAATATTTATAATACAGTGCATTCAGAAAGTATTCAGACCCCTTCACTTTTTTCACATCTTGTTATGTTGCAGCCTCGTGCTAAAATCTAAATTTCTACACTCAAAACCCGGTAAAAGAAAAACTGAAATATCATATTGACAAAAGTATTCAGACACTTTGCTATGATGCTTGAACTCACTGTAACCTCAGGTTTCTCCCATTTTCTGTCGCTCATCTTGAGATGTTTCTACACCTCGACTGGAGTCCACCTGCGGTAAATTCAGCCGATTGGACACGACGTGGAAAGACGCACACCTGTCTATATCAGGTCAGAGTAAACAACAAGCCATGAGGAGGAAGGAGCTGCCGGCAGAGCTCAGAGACAGGATTGTGTCGAGGCTACAAAAAAATTCCTGCCTGCACCGAAGGTTGCCGAGAGCAACAGTGACCTCCGTCATTCTTCAGCGGAAGAAGTTTGGTCAAAGTGAGACAATCGGGGCCGGTGGCCGATTCTAAGCTTCATGTCTGGAGGAAAACCGGTCATGACGCTCTGAACTGGCCGTCCTTCTGGAAGTTTCTCCCCTCTCCACAGAGGATCTCTGGGAGCTCGGCCATGACTCGGAAATTAATGATCCATTAATGCCCCAAATCTTTTTAACACAGTTTCAATATTTAAAATATCTGAAATAAAACACAAAGTTTTTATGACGTGTCCTTGATGTGTTCTGCTCCGTTTACAGTTTGGTAGAAACAAAACACGTTCACCTTCAGTTCAAATGCTAATTCAAACATGACCAACAGAGTATGATACATCACAAGGAAATGTAGTATTTTTATGAGCTGTAATTTGTTGTACTGGTTGTCAGTCCTTCATTTCAGCAGATTATCATGGCGCCTGTGACCTAAACTACAGATAGTGACCGCTACTGGATTGTGGATTCCTTTGCTGGGTGTCTGGACTGGGCATTATGGGTAGAGGGAAAATCTCAGGGGTTACTAGAAGTGTAAAATAGGAAGTGATGGCGAGGAGCGAGGTGTGGTGGTTGGGACCATTGATGATGAGCTCTCCCAGGATCTGTCCTGACGAGGTATTTGGGGTTAAAATGGGAGCTGACCCTTGGGCAGACCCAGGACTACATATCCTATCTGGTCTGGGAATGCCGAGGGACTCACCCCCCCTCACCCCCCACAACAGGTCGGACAATGTGCCAGTGGAGAGGAATACGAGGGCTACTCTGCTCTACTTTAGTCTGCTACAACCACAACCCCGACCAGGAGAAGAGGCTGAAAATGAACAGATGAATGACACACGAGTGGAGAAACACCGGCGCTTCCGTACAACAGCAGCGCCGACGAGTACTCCCACTGACCTGTGTGTGAGCGTAGGTGACGCTTGAGTGCAGTATGGCTGGGGAAAGTCCGGTTGCATTCACTGCAGATGTAGCTGCGAACGCCGGCGTGGACCTCCATGTGCTGCTGCAGTGCCGTCTGGGTCTGGAAACGCTTCCCACAAAGCAGGCAAAAGATGGCCATGTCCGAACCTGCAGCGGGAAAAAACACAAACATGGACCTCAGATGAGAATATGAATTTCAGCTGTAATAAAAAGAAACTGTTTCCGTGTTTGAGTAATATTCATCACGGTGTGACGAGCGACAGTCAATGACAGCTCCGCTTAAACAAATCACACGAAAAGGTTGTGCACGTTAACGGCGATTAACATACAGGAGCCGCAACAACCCAGGTGTGATGCCGCGGGCTCAGACACATTACAGCTTACTAACCATGCCTTCACAGGCTCACACCAAGCGTACTGTATTTGTATGATTAAAGGTGCACACAATATTCGTGTTTTAGGGTGGGTGAGTAGAAAGATAAAGATCTCCTATGCAATACTTCAATCAAATCTTGACTCCAGCGAGCAGTGTGCATTTTTCTCCAGCAGAGATAAAGAGCACACAATTGCAAGCGCACAAACACATAAAATCACAAACACGGGGAACGAACACACACACACACACACACACACACACACACACACAGTTGCACGCTCCCTTGAACACACTCCCTTCACACTTTTTCAATTACCAGGCTGGGGAAAACTCTGGGGAAGGACTGAGTGTTTGGAGCTCAGTTTCTATTTCATCAGTCAATAACACATCTTTGGGGCAAAGCTGACACTAATTTAAAAATCTATGAAGAGCAGCCCGCCTCATGTTCATAACAACTGCAGGAGGAGGAGGGCCCACGACAGCCTCCACGCCAGATCAATCACTGTCTCGGCTGCACTATACGCGCTAAAGAACGGGGATGGAGGGAGGATGCACCGCTGGAGGACGATGATAGGAGGGAGAAAAGTTTCTGGAGAGCAGGTAGAGATGGGAGATTCAGAGGAGGGAGGAGATGTGGAAACCAAGGGAGAAAAAAAATTAAATTTAGGTATATGTAGGGGAGAGTAATAAATATTGACAAACCATCCCCATCTGACTTTCGCTCTCCCTCCATGTTTCATTTTCTGTTGTACGGGAAAAAGAAAGCACACATGTAGACTTCTCATTAGCTCCTTGTTCAACACTTACGACTGAAAGCTTGAGGGACTAATCTTTCATCTCTACAGGTGAGATAAGTCATGGTCCCTGGAGGATGACTCCTTTCTCTACCCCAACAATCAAAGGCAGGTTTTTTAACACAAGAAATATTTAAATCTACTGGAGAGACTGCCATAAAATTCACTCATGTTACCTTGAGGATAAACCTTTGTGATTTTAACTGCGTTTCCTGCAGCTCCACCTTGAAGCCCCAAAAACATGTAAGATTTTGCAAGTTTGTCTTGCTTCTGCTGCAGTTCTGATCCGCTTCAAGTTTCTCTACAACCTTCATTTTGTGCGTTTAATCTGGTGGTAAAGCAGATTCAAATAGTTCTCCTCCATCTGGGCTCCTAAAATGTGGTTTTTATCCAACTCATTTTCTCTCACTCTCTTATGACGAATTTTAAGTTTTAGTTTCCATCACGTTCTTCCTCCGTCTTTTCAAAACAAACTGCCGACTTCCCGTAAATGTGACTCACCTCTTGTGCACGCAGTAGTAGAACTGCAGAAGATATCAGTGACTGGTTGTGTTTAATTGTCTCATATCAGTTGGATTTAAGTGAACATTTCTGCCATCTACTGCTTCAGCAATCGCTTCATAATGTAACGTGAGATTAACGAGCCGAGGATGAGTCTGCAGGAAGGGTTGGTCTAAAAGCTAGATTTCTCCTGTATTTTTATTTTCCTTGCCTGTCTCTTCTCCTCCTCTCTGCTTTTTATCAATGAAGAGGCTATTGACTGGGGTCGACTCCTCCTGGAATCCCCCTAGGACTCCAGGTACTTACGAGTGGCTTTGATTGACAAGCCTGTCTCCCGCTCACTCCTGTTCTCTCTCTACCTCACTCCCTCTTCTCCCGGTTGACCGTATATCTTAGGGTCCGGCTCCGTCAGTGTGCTAGCATTAGCGGAGGACTCCTTCCCCTCTCCAGGCCACTTCAAGACCAAAATCACTCACGGCCACTTTAAAGACTTGGAAAGGAACAAGCGTTGAGAGGCAGAATAAGTGGCAGAAGTCAGAAGAGGAGAGAGAGTGAGAGAGAGAGAGAGAGAGAGAGAGAGAGAAGGCGTTTGGGCCGAAGATGGAGAGATAAGAGGAAAAAAAAAAAGAAAAAAGAAAAGGTTTTGGAATGTAAAAGGTTAGGCGACCTCTGACCTCAGGCCAGGGCGAACCCAGATCCCAGACACACACTCACTCACACACACAGAAAAACAAAGCTGGTGATGAAAAAGACTTTCCTCCTTTTGAAGCCAGGGCAGTTACAGTTGAGCTGAATGTCGTACGATGTGTGTCAGCAAGTACGCATCAACTTTAAAAAGAAGTCTGACAGTCTCTGCGCCTTTATATAAGAAAAGGTGTGTTTTCAAAGCGGCACGAGAGTCACACAGAGAGCAAACAGTCGGAGTGACAGACACAGACAAAACTGCTCGGCTGGAGAACAAAGGTAGGAGGAAGAAAACTAACCACGAGGAGCTGATGGACATTTAAACATGCTGCTTTCTAAACACCACAAAACTAAACACTAAAGGAAAATTTAAAAAAAAAAAATGACCACATCCAGGATCTAACCTTACTTGTAGAGCTTTGAGGAGATGTTATTTATTTGTAATTCAGTGGTGCAATGTAGAACCTAAACTCTTAATTTATCCCCCACTGCTTGTATTCAATGCCAGAACACAAAGCTGTTATACACCCTCATGTAATGAGGACAGGAGACCTCAAACATGGACAATAACTATAAAAGCTTGACAGGTTTTCCAGCTGCACTTCAGAAGTCCCACTACCTCCAACCTAACCTTCCACTATCTCTAAATCAGCAGATGAAAAACACCCACACGGACTCCACATACGTAGATTTCCATCACGTTCATCCTTCAAAGAACTGGAATGCTTTCTGTCTTAAAGAGGGGTCTACTCTCAATGCCAACCTCGGGCCACTTCATGGACCTCAATAAGACGCAACAATGCGTGCCGGTGCGTCCGCACTTGAAGAAAATAGACGCGGGAGCCGAATATGCTCGACACAAACGCGACCGCAAAGATACGAGACTTTGCCAGAGACAAGAGATGCATCGTGTGTGAAAAAAAAAAAAAGATGGCGGTGGGTGGGAAATGCAAAATCCAGGCTTTGAAAACATTCACTCAATAACCTGTTGGTGACTTCCAAGATGTCGCATCCACACTTGCAACAGTCTGTGTGGAGGAATCTGCCGGCTACTCGTTATCACGGCCCCTTTCTTTCTCTCGTCTGCAAACCACAGTTTGGGAGGAAAGTGTAGCGCGAAGCGTGATTAGTGTTGGACAAAATTAAGTGGTGCAAACCGTACAGTCAGTTCCGGGGAATAATGTTCGTGCTGCAGGAAAGTGAGTAAAGGTGTTGTCGGCGGCTGATAGATGAAGAGAGCGGGGGAGAGATAAAAAAGGAAGGAGAAGGTGGGAGAAAAGTAGTTGACCCAGGAGGTCCATTACAGTGTAAAATTGAGTCAGCCCAAAGTGACACCTGAAAGGAGGAGCTGGAGGAGCTGGAAGTGGTGGGGGGTTCTTAGTCTCATTCCTGTTTGGCTGTTTTGGAATAATTTACCTCCTCCAACCAGCCTCTCTCTCTCTCTCTCGCTCTCTCTCTCCTCCTGCCGCCATCTATTTATAAAGGCCTGGGTAGTTTGTGGCGGTTTGTGTGTGTGTGTGTGTGTGGCCGCGGCAGTGCCGGCAGTATCTTAATGGGCCTAGAGTGGCAGGGCTGCTGTTATTTAAGTGGGGGACGGACAGAGGCTGGTAATGGAGAGGAATACTCCCTGATGCGAGGTGACAGTGGTCGGATGGGCACAGAGCAGAGAAATGGCCTCAGGGTAGAGGCTGGCCATCGAGGGAGGCACTCTCTCCGATTCTGGTGTGCGGCAGGGTAACCAGGCACCTGCCCACCCGCCCAGCTCGGAAAAATAAAAGTCCGAGAAATGGCCTCAAAGCTTACAATCCTCAAGGTTTTTATTATCTCATTATTGTATATTCGGCTCCACTAACTGAACTGCAGGAATCACATCGTCCCTCAGAGACTGGACTCTTCAGTTTTTCTGCAGTCCAACATTTCCCGCTCTCTCCGTCTATAGACAAACACGAAATGCTTTGTTTCACCGTCTCAGCCTCTTCACGGGAACTTGTAATGTACGTCTGTCATTTTAGTTTTCAGTATGAGCGCTACAGCCCTTAAAATCCTCCCCGAATGCCCGTGTGTCTCGGGCTGCGTTTGAGACAGTTAAATGCGTCCTGACTGTGGCCTGCAATGCAGCGTGCTGAACAGAGGACCTGCCAGAGTTAATGAGGCAGAGAGCAGCGGGACCTCAGCACAAGGTGTTCAATCACAGGCCATTACCACAGCCCTCAACCTCTGTTACTGCTCGCTCATGTCAATAGCAATCTATAGTTTATCTGTAGAGGGAAGGGTAGTGACAAAACGTAGGTCTCTGTATCCTACAAACACCTACATTAACTGTGGGTGCACGTTGAAGCCTAATAACAGAGACATGAAGACGACTTCCTGACTTCATTTCATCTCTGATTTATTTAATCTATAGTATGATAATGAGCTGGAGTGTTCACACCTGACCTGGGAACAGCAGTTTGGACAAAAGAAACGATTTACGTTGTGTTCAGGTGCGTCGCAGTGAAAATAATAATTTAGAGCAAGAGAAATGAACATGTTGAACAGTGGCAGCAACACGGAACGATTTAACCCTTCAACGGTCTGTGAAGAGAGACCGAGAGAACATTTCGACTTGTTGAAAGCCGAGTTGTATTTCCTGTTTATTGGGTGTTTTCACCCTGTAGGTAATCAGAGGGAGAACTGGCCACCGCAGCTCATCTTTAAAGTTCACATCATTAGCCTCACGGCGGTTCCTCTCAGAACGGGCCGAGCCACCTCGTCCTCTCTCTCCTTAGGACTATCCCTGCATTGCTCCGGCA